GTTATATTTGCTTCTTCCCACTAATAAACCTTTATTTCACTCAAACTGAGCAATAAATCTTCCACACTGAAGTATCTTCCTTGCCCAATCAATCCAAAGGAAAAAAAAAAAAACTGAAATGATTAGAAAAGGGCAATGTAGGGACTAATACACCGTTTTAATAGGTTTTTAAATAATTTTAAGATTTAAAAAGTGTTTAAAGTTTGTAATTCCTAGTAGGAAAACAGTATCTGAATGAATACACTAATGGAAAACCACTGTAGAATGTTTCCGTTGCACGTGGGGCAGAGGGGTAGGGATTCTCTTCGCAGCTCCCAGCTTTCTTCATGAGAAGGTCCTAGGTACACTGCTTTGCAGAATTGCGACATCCATTAGGTTATGGTTGTTTTTCCTTCAGCAAGGGCTTTATTTGTCAGAAGGGCATTATGCTTGACCTCCAAATTTGACTGACAATTTCCTGATGAGATTCATAACCTTTGGATCGCTATGATATTTTGACATACTTGCTGGGTTCTAGGCCACATCCTGGAAGGCCACCATAACTTCTGGATCCTGCATGGCTGCGAGAACCTCTGGATCACTAAGAATTTCATTGAGCCCAGGCATTCCTGACATTCCAGGCATTCCCCCTGCCATTCCAGGCATTCCTCCAGGAAAATTACCAGGCATTTCCCCAGGAAAGCCACCTGGGAAAGAGCCATATGAACTCCTGATTGTCCTCTGGCTTCTTCCTCCCTCTGAGCTTTCTCATGTTCTTCCAGAGACTCCTTTACCCTTTGTATTCTTTCTTTGATGTCTTACTCTTCACGTTTTTGCTCATACTTTCTCTGATGTTCAGGAATTTTCTGAGTGCTCGATTGAACTTCTTTCAGCATTGCACTAGCATCTTCATCGTAATCCAGTTTACTAGCAAGGGCGAGATCATGTGCTGCGTCCTTCAGTGGCCCAGAAGTCTGTGTGCTTTCCCTCCTCACTTATAAGGATGAGGTGTATCAGGATTTATTTCAATAGCCCTGCCACAGTCTCGAAGGACAGCATTTGGCTTCTGTCATTTGATGGATACACTGGCTCTCTTGGCATATAGAATGGTCAAGCGAGGATTCAGTTTGATGGCATCTGTGAACAAGTCAATGGCTTTCTGTAGCTCACCATCATTTAGGGCATCATTTGGGGCCACTTTTTTATCATTTGCCTGATCCATTATTTCCTCAGTTCCTCTCCCATTTCTTTTTTTTTTTTTTTTTTAAAGATTTTTATTTATTTATTTATTCATGAAAGACAGAGAGAGAGAGAGAGAGAGAGAGGCAGAGGGAGAAGCAGGCTCCCAAGGAGCAGGGAGCCCGACGCGGGGCTCGATCCCAGGACCCCGGGATCATGACCTGAGCCGAAGGCAGACGCTCAACCATCTGAGCCACCCAGGCGCCCCCTCTCCCATTTCTTGAGGGGTATCAGTATCTGGTTCAATCACAACTTCATTGTCAATTTCTAGATCACGTTCCTCACTTGACAGTTCATTTCTCTTTATGTTTTTCCTCAGCCTTCTTACTATTTGTTTACTCTTCCTTGATATTGTCTTCTGATTTAGTTTTATGAGTGGCAGGTGGTATTTTATCCCCCATGGTCTCCACACACTCCTGCAGGAAGCTCATTTCCTCGGTGTGCAGAACACTTGGATACAGGCCACACATTTTCACGAAGGCCTGAAGCTCACTCACTTTGTGGGGTCCATGGTCCAGAGGCGGTGGCAGGCGGCAGGCGTGATTGTGTGGAAGGGGGCGGCTGCCAGGAGGCTGAACAGACTAGAACCGTCATGGCCGCTGGCTAATCTTACCCCACTTTCCACATTTTTAATTTAAAAGTCCAAGCTTATATTCAGAAAACTAAACAAAAAAAATGTTTAAAGAAGAAGGAAGATTTAAATAAATGGAAAAATATCTCCAGTGGACTTAAGTGTGTCCTCTTTACATTCATATGATGAAGCTCTAACCCTCAATGTAGCTGTGTTTGGATAAGATGCTTTTAAAAAGTAATTAAGGGGGTGCCTGCGTGACCCAGTCATCTAAGCATCTGACCCTTGATTTTGGCTCATGTCACGATCTCAGGGTCTCCAAATTAAGCCCAATATTGGGCTCCCTGCTAGGTGTGGAGCCTGCTTAATATTTCCTCTTCCTCTCCTGCTGCCCCTCAACCCAGCTCACTCCCTTTCTTAAAAAAAAAGGATTTAAGTAATTAAATGTGTTCAGTAAGTGTGGGGCCATAATCTGATTGGATTTATCCAATGATAAAAGGAAGATTTTTTTCTCTTTCTCTCTCTTTCCTGCTCTCCCTCTGTGGGAGGAGCTGAAAAGTGCCACAGTTTATTCTGCCCCTTCAACCTGATAACATCATAAAAGCAAGGTCCAGATAATAAAGTCAGCCTGCCACTTCAGAGAATAGCCCATAGATTCCACATATAATCCACCAAGGTGACCCCAATGCAGTAGACACCAAGACATCTCTGGTCAGTGATCATGACACCTCCACTCATCTCAGGGGACACAGAGGCAAAGCATTCCAGAACACTGTACACTTGCACCACCTTGGCTCCGGATGACTTGCCAGGACATCCCATGCACAGAAATGTCTGGTCTCCACGTCACTCCACCAGGGCCTTCCCCTCACCACAACCATGCCTTGGCTCTAGCAACGTAGCAGGGTGCCCTTTGGGTGGAGCACTACAAGACACCTTAATCCATCCAACCTTGGCTCTAGACACCCTCATTTGGTGCTCCCTCTGTGGAGGACTCTGGGACACACTGACTTTCCCCCACGTCAGATTCAGCGGATCTCCCAGGTCTCCCCCTGTATGGAGAGACCTGGGACTGCTTATCCCATGCCAGCCATAGCCAAAGCCAGCCCACACCACGAATAGCCGTATAAAAGAACAATCTTTCAAGTCTAGGAGAAGTAACTGTTCTGCTTAATTCATATAAAGAAACACCAAAAATTAAGCAAAATAGACAGAAAAATATGCTAAAAATGAAAGAAGAAAGCAAACATCCATTAAAGATCCAAATGAAAGGAAGATCAGAAATTTACATGATTATGAATTTAAAATAATGGTTACAAAGATGCTTGCCAGATAGGAAAGAAGAATAGTTGAACTCAGTGTGAATTTCAACAGAGATAGAAAATGTAAAAATAACAATTCAGAGTTGAAGAATGCAATAATGGAAATGAAAATACACTTGACAGAAGCTACAGTAGGTAAGAAAATGAATAAAGAACAAAGAAGAGTGAAGGAGAAGGCAGTATAATAAAAAAACACCATAGCTGCATGGGAAAAAGGGAAAAAAAATTAAAAATGGGGCTACGTTAAGGGAACTTTTGAACAAATCAAACAAAATTCACACAATAGAGGTCACAGATAGAAAAGACAGAGAGAAAGAGTTAGAAAATATATTTTAACAAGTAAGAGCTGAAAGATGTCCTAACCTGAAGAAGGAAAGAAGTATCCAAGTTCCAGGAGCACAGATGGTTCTAAACAAGATGAACATAAGGGGGTCCACTACACAACAACAATATTTAAAATGTCAAAGATTAAAGATTACAGAGAAGTTTAAAAACAGTTGAAACAAGTAACTAGTTACATACAAGGAAATCACATAAGGCTATCAGCTAATTTTTCAGCAGAGCTATGCAGATAAGAAAGGAGTCACATGATGTATCAAAAATGATCAAATGAAAAAAATCTACAAATAACAATACACTACCTGGCAAGGTTTCAGTTCAGAACTGAAGGAGAGTAAAAGAGTTTCCCAAACAGACAAAAACTAGAGTTTATCACCGCTAGATGGCCATACCAGAAATGTTAAAGTGACTTCTTAAACTGGAAAAGAAAGGTCCATATTTAAAAGTAAGAAAATTATTAATAGGGTGCCTGGGTAGCTCAGTTGGTTAAGGGACTGCCTTCAGCTCAGGTCATGATCCTGGAGTCCCAGGATCGAGTCCCGCATCGGGCTCCCTGCTGAGCAGGGAGTCTGCTTCTCCCTCTGACCCTCCCCCCCCATGTTCTCTCTCTCTCATTCTCTCTCTCAAATAAATAAATAAATAAATAAAATATTTTTTTAAAAAGAAAATTATTAATAAAAACATATAAATTATGATGACATATAACATGAAGGGGAGAATACAAAACTTCTTTTAGAATGTTTTAGAACTTAAGTGACACTACCTTAATTGAGACTACTATAGGACATGGATGAATAACAAAAAACCCATAACAGATGCCACATCCTATACTAGGTACACCAAAATTAAAGAGAAAGAAGGCCAACCATAATATTACAGAAAATCAACAATCACAAGGCAAGAGAGCAAGAAAAAAAGAAAGGAACAGAGAAGTACTACAAAATCAACTACAAAACAATTAACAAAATCGAAATAAGTCCATACTTATCGGTAATTACTTTAAATGTAAATAGTCTAAATACACCAATAAAAAGGTGTAAGTTGGCCAAATGGATACAAAAATCATTCCCATCTGTCAGCTTCCTACAAAGTGACTCACTTCATACCTAAGGACACATAAAGTCTGAATTTGAAGGGGGAGAAAATAGATATTTTGCAAAAGGAAAAGAAAAAAAGCTGGGGTAGCAAAATTACATCAAACAAAATAAACATTAAAACAAAAAATATAACAAAAGGCAACGAAATCAATACATAAAGAAAGAATGCTGTGGAGGAGGCCATTTCAGCAACATCATGGTTTTTCAAGGCAGAAACTTCCTAGCCTCTCTCTGTGGAAACATCACGATAGGGCCATATTCTATCCTCCGAGATAGCAGTTGATGGGGGAATGTGCTGTCCACTCATATCTTGTTTCCATAAGAGAAAAGCCATTTCTAATATTTGTGTGGAAGTATAGGGAAGCGGGTTGGTCCTTACGATGAGAAAGAAGTCTGCGGAGAGTGCAAATTTCAGAGACTACAAGCGTCTCTAGTTGAAGCCTTGTGGCACCTATGCGTTGTAGCATCCGAAAGGTGCCTACCCTTCCCTCAGTGAAAACAGTCTGTTTCGAATTCAACATTCAGGTAACCCCTTGCTTCCTGAAGATACAAAGCATTTCCATTGCAGGTGTGGGATCATGAGGAAACATCCGTACCTGAAACTTGGAAAAACAAGATGTGGGGAATGGAAATCTTCATGGCCATCTGGATGTCAGAAGATAGACCCATATTCAAATCTGGGTTTGGAATCATAGGCAAAGGGCTAGGACCCTATGTTTACAAACAAGTCTGTGGAGAAGAGAAAGTTCAGTGCACCACAATTGTCTGGAGAAGCTTTCTAGCATGGATATGTGCAAGCATCAGGATAGTTTCATCTCCTTCCCTCTGAGAAACAAGGCTGTGGAGAATGTCACTTAGAGATAACAACTTTTTTCCAGGGTTCAGAGTGATTTCCAGGATATGGGCGGAAGGACAGGCGTGGTGCAATGTCCCCCAGTGTTGTAGTGAAATTCTGTGGACCCTGCAAGCTCCAGGAAACACAAGTTCCCTTTCTAATATATATGTCTAGAAGACTCTGTACGTGGCATATATTTCCTTCTGGGAGACAAGATTGGGCGTTGTGTGACTTCCACTAAGATCGTGTTTCCAGAAGAGAAAATTGAATTCCAATATATGCATGGAAGCCTAGTGTATGTAGGGGTGATTTCCTGACGCTTCGAGAGAAGTGTGTGGAACATGCACCGTTGAGAAAATCACAAGTTTCTCAAGCGAGAAGCATTCTAGCATGTCTTGGGTGAAGCGTCGGAAACATACCCTATCCTTTCATCTGTGAATACGGTCTCTGGGGAATGCAACTTTCCACTCAGAGGAAGTGTGTCCTAGTGAAAAGCTCTCAGGCATGTTGGTCTGGAGGCAAGCAGAAAGTGCCACATATCCTTCGCTAAAGAAAAAAGTCTGTGAAGAAAGCCAGCTTCAGCGATCGACACAACACTTCACAATAAATCCCTTCCAACAAATATATGTGTTGTAGCATTAGGAAAGTGCCTTATCCTTGCCTTGGAGAAAGAAGTCCATTGACAGTGACCTTTGTTGCTAAGTCATGGGTTTTCAAAGAAGACCCTTCTACCCTATAGGTGGGGAAGCATCACGAGAGAGCAATACTCTTCCCTTGAGGAACAAGCTGTTGCAGAATGCCACTTCCCATGCAAGTCAAATTTATAGGTTAGGAATGCGATTACTAATATCTGTGTGGAATTCTAGCATGTGGGCAATGTCCTTACACTTCAAGACAAGTCTGTGAAGCATTTCCTGTGTGAAGCCCTGTAGCATTTATGTGTACAAGCATCAAGAGAGGGCCCTCTCCTTCCCTCAGAGAAACAAGCCTGTGGAGAATGCCACTGTGAGATAACATCTTTTCTGAAGACTTCTCAGTCATTTCCAGTATTGGTCTAGAAGGAGATGCAAAAGGCAATGTCCTGATATTGGAGTCACCAGGATGTGGAGGAAGCAGCTGTCAGGAAACACAAGTTCTCTCCAATGAGACACTTTCTAACACACAGGTATGGAAGCGTCTGGATGTGCGATATATTTCCTTCTGAGAAATCAGGGCTCACAGAAGGTGACAGTCCATGAACATCTTGTTCCTCAGAGAGAAAGCCTATTTCCAGTATCTGTGTGGAATTCTAGGGAAGGGGCAAGGTCCTTCGCCTTAGAAAAATGTCTGTGGAGCAGACACCTTTTGGAGAACCCCAAGTTTCTCAAGCGAGAAGCATTTGAGCTTGTATGTGTCAAAGCATGCGAAATATGCCCTATCCTTCTGTCTGTCAAGAAGTCTCTGGGGAATGCAACTTTCCCCTCAGAGGAAGTTTGCTTCTTTGAGGAGCATTCTAGCATCTTTGCCTAGAGGCAAGCAGAAAGTGCCTTAGACTTCGCAGAGAGCAAGAAATCTGTGAATAAAGCAAGTTTCAGTGTAGAACACGACACTTGAAAAGAAGAGTCGGATTAAAAATTCTTCTACAGTTTCATTAGTTCAAGATTTCAACAAGAATCCCTGCAGAGCAGTGGATAATGTCAATAGTCCTAATTCTGGATTTGTTGCTGAAGCTAGTGGAGAAAGTGTATGTTCAAACTCCACCAATGTAAATGTGCCTTTAATAAGGAAGCCTTCTCTCAGCCAGAGTATTGCTACTACAATGGCCCCTATGAGAAGTGATTTTTCTCCTGCATCAGCAATGTCAGTTAGACCATCAGAACAAATTGGCATGGAGCAACATGCTATTTTAAACCAGTTGACCACTTTTCACATGCACTCACATAGCAGCTACACTCAAGCAAATGGCCACATTGTGAACTTTGTTACAACTACAACTTCTCAATCTCAGTACGGTATCATATCTCCCTTACAGGGCACTTATCTGGGAATGATGGTGGAGACTTCCACTTTTCCAACTAGATATGCGGATTTGTCAGCCAGTGAGGCTCGTTTTTCTAACCTGCAACTGGTGGGCAACCCATGGTGCACAATGCCAATGAGAAGTGATACTTCTGCTGCCTCACTTTCAAGATCAGCTCCTCAACCGTCTCCACCTTATGCACATCATCGTAATTACTACTGATCTGTCAAAGGACTGTCATTATGCAAGATAACAAAAGTTATCATTTGTTGGCAATTGACAACATATTGGCAATTCTCTTACTTGAAAAAAAATTGCATTTTCATCTTTATGGTTTCATTATGTTTATTTTTTGAAATAGTTCAGGGTAAAAAATCTAGATTTTATTTATTGTACTTTTTTGTCATTTGGCAAGAACAGTTGACATACATGCTAAAATTTATATGTATTTAAAAAGAATGGAAGCAAAGGAAAAGAAACATTTGGAGTTAAGGAATTTCTGAAATAGTCCAGGATGAATAAAATGAGTGTATACATTACAATGATGTGGAAGGGGGCGCCCCGGTGGTTCAGTTGTTAAACGTCTGCTTTCAGATCATGTTATGATCCCAGGGTCCTGGGATCGAGCCTTGTGTCCATTGCAGACTTGTGGATCCAGAAGCAGACTCCCTCCCCCTTTGCCCCTCCTCCCACTTGTATGTGCTTTGCAATAAATAAGATCTCAAAAAATAATTGATGTTGAAGATATACCTGTCAATGTAATCTAGAAAAGAGAAATACATAGTATTCACCCTAGTATTTTCTCAATTACATTATATTCTCCCAGTTATTTATAAGAGCCCTTGGATTTTAGTTGGCAAATGTTGTCTTCATTAAAAGGACATTCATAGTGGAATGTATAACACTCTCACCAGTTCAGCAACCGTTATATATTCACATGCTTCAGTCATGGACTGCATGTCTCAGAATGTTTTGTAATTTTACAGGTGGTTTTATCAAAGGCCTGTTTTGCCCTAGTGATCTCAAAACATTGCATTGTGTGCCTTCATTTCCTCCCCTCATTAGCCCACCTTTGATATTTTTAATGGAACATTTATATTGCTTTCTGATTCTATCCACAGGCTATTTCATGCTTAATTCCTTATGCTGTTTTTGATGCCTTTTAAATTCTGAGCCCTGAAATTCAGCATAGTTAACACGTCTTAAAGACAACTGTTTACCTGAGTAGCTTCATAAGTTTCTATCACATTATCCGTTTTGAGTTACATTCAAACTCTTTTTAGCCATGCCAGTTCCCATCATACAACTCTTAGGTGGAACCCCTTTACTTTGTCTTGGACATCACCTCAGATTGAGCACAGTTACTGTCAAATATATTTTTATATGTATATATTGAATGAACAATAAATGAACGTTGGTTTAAGCAAATCAAAATACGCTTTTTGTGACTGAACAACCCATGTCATTTACTATTATCATAATTGGATTTCCTCTTCACTGGATATTTTTTTCAAGTGTAGTTCACAGTTATGTACACTACAGATAATGAGACTGACTTAAGGAAACTAGCATCACTAGTTATCACTCTATGCACTAATTTTTAGTTTCCAGTTTTTGTCCATTATGCAAACTTGGATATTCTGGTTAATGCCACTATTAAGGCTTTTTTCCATTCTGTTTCACTGAAATATAGTATTATTTCTCTGCCTGTCATAATATCTTCTCCATCTTCTGCTTTTACAAGTCATTCTTGAGAGAATTTGCTACATACTTACTAGATCTGTGTCTATGGCAGTATCCCAACTAGTGTGCATTACAATGACAAAATTCATTCCCTTGGTCTCTGGGTAAGCTGGAATTGGGACAAAATACAGAGCTGAACAATCCATTCTTGTCATCCTAATGCATCAACACATATTTTCAAACTCTGTCTACTTAGGAGAATTTTGCAATCATTACTTTGTATAAGGAATCCCGATTTCCTGCTGGAGTTTCATGAGAATGCCATGGTCTTCTTTGCCCATATGCCTTTAATCACCATTATTTAGTTCTCAGAT